AAAATATTTGTAGTAAAGACAGAGAAAAGCCACATAACGTCTATGAGAAAGTGACTGGAGCCGAGATGTCAAATCAGGGCCGATTACATTGCAGAAGTACTATAAATTAAATGACAATTCTCCTATAGTGTATGAGAACCATAGTTTGGGCCCGGCTCTGCAGGACACAAAGCAGGAAACATAACATACACAAATAATAATAATAATAATAATAAATTCTCTGATACTACGCCAGGTATGGCTCTCATTTGTTTGATGTTGATGAATTAAATATCTCATTCAGTTCAACAGATTTGCTCCCTTCGCACTAATACCTTTGGAAAAGGTATGAATCCATCTCTTTTCTGCTCCAGTTATGGATTAAATAACAGTCCAGTTTTGGGGAACAGATCCGTAAAACCTGAAAATGACTGAAAATCGTTAGCCGTGTTATTTGCGCAGTCAACCACAGGCGGAGATAAGGTCTAATTCTTCATTTCACCAAGTTGAGTATATGCCCTGGGGGGGGGATGCAAACCCTGGCCGTGTATGGAAAAGTTTTTTATTATTATTATTTGAAGGATGAAGCAGTCAAGGCGCTTTGAGAGTCACATCTAGATACTTGGGAATCCCCTCCCCCATCGGACTGGGTTACCTGACCTGAAGGTAATTCTAACTGGGAAGCACCTCTAAGCGAATACACTGTTTCTGTGGATACCCGTCATCCTATCGCACACATTTGACTGTGATGCATGTTCTTGGTATACATTTATCGGACAGAGCGGCATCATTGTTATATATTTGTATCCCGCTTTCTTAGCGTCGTATTCTTTCACTCAATAATAATAATAATAATAATAATCTGCAACTTGTACGGGAAGGAAACTGAAAGAAAATGTTATGAACCCCACCCAGACCCGGTTACGGAGATAGGACCTGTTACAATTCTATGGCACTACACAATACACACTGACAGAACAATCAAAGCCAACCGCCCAGATATTGTTATTAAAGACCACAAACAAACAAAAAAAGTGCCTCCTTATTGACAAGGCAGTCCCTGCTGACTGCAATGTATCTTTGAAGATATTCAAAAAGTTGTCAAAATACAAGGACCTTGAAATAGAAATCTCGAAAATGTGGCATATGGGAACATCAACAATCCCTGTTGTAGTTGGAGCCCTAGGACTGGTTGGAAAAGATTGCAGTAGACTAATTGAAGGGATTCCTGGAAGTCCATGCCTCAAGGAGATACAAAAAAATTTTCTGACAAGTACAGCCCACACTTTACGAAGGGCTTTATCTATGTAATATTTTTTTTTTTAGAGGAAAGTGTCATGACGCCATTTCTAACCTTAGGTCCCTGGGCGGGACCCGGAAAGAAATGTGTAAACGCCAGAAATCAAAGAAAATAAAAACAATAATAATAATATTTGATTTTGCAAATTTTTAAGCACTCATTATTATTGTTGTCGCCATTGTTTTCATTCTCGGTTGTTCTTTTTGCGGACTTTTTCATTTTCTTTTTCTTCTTTTTAGGTCGCATACCTTAAATTTTATCACAAATGTTTTCCAACACTATGTCTACCCATTTCTATTGATCTATTTTTATTTTTTTTATTGATCCGTCTCTGCTACTATGAAGCTATTCATGTTTTCCCAGGTTTATTCATATTCAATTTTTATTATTATCTATCTCAGCCTGTTCATATCTATCTATCGAGCTACGTCAACCTTTTCATATCTATCTATCTATCTATCTATCTATCTATCTATCTATCTATCCCAGTTTGTAACTTATCTATCTTTCTTTTTTTTTTTTTTTTTTTTTTTTTTGGTTTTGCTTTTATGAATTCGTCTCATTTCGTCGTTTCACTTTCTTTGCATTTATTTCTCTTATTTATTTATGTTTTGCTTTATTTTTCGCATCTGTCTGACTTTTTCCTTTCTTTTTTTGCATTTTTTTCATTTATTTCTTTCATTTTTTATTATTATCGATCTCAGTTTCTTCATATCTATCTATGTCAATCTGTTTATAACAATGTCAAATTAACAAAAATATAAAATCTGTCACTTAGCTTTGATGCAATATTCAGCAGTCCGACTCTAGAGTTTCGTAGACAAACCTTTGTATAATTGTTTCGTCCATTCGTCAGGAGGTAACAGCAATTGTTTGCCGATTTTCTCATTTTCGTTATTTATCCATTAAATTAAAAAAGAATTTATGCGGTTTTTATTGGTGTTGGATTGATTTTTTTTTCTTGTTTGTGTTTGTGTGTATGTGTGTATACGCGTCTGTGTACGCCTGTGCGTGTGAGTATATGCACATGTGTAGAATTTCTTCTTTTCGTGATTTTTTATCTCCATATACTCTCTTATTTTCTTTCTTTTTTATTCCTTTTTATTCTTTTTTCCTGTTTATCTATTAATTTCAATCTGGTCATACATATCTATTCAAGTATGTTCATATCTATCTATCTATCTATCTATCTATCTATCTTTTACTATTTGTCTATGTTCATATATATGTTCACATCCCTCAAAAGACTATTTGCCTTTCAGGGGCGCCTCGGCGTGGAGTAATGGTTTGAGAAGCTAATCCAGTCCACCATTACTACTGAGTAACGAGTTCGATCCACGCTGGCTGCCCCATGCAAAATTCGACAAATGCTGACGGGCCGTAGAACTAGCAGAAATACACAGAAAGATGGGGTAAGTTGTACCTATATTTTTAGCGTATTTCTACTCGCATCTCATTGTATTCTAATACTCCTGACTATCCACGTCCACGAGTTTATTTCCCTCGGCATCTCGCTTAGTCCATCACCAGGCGAAATCTAGTCTAATACGATTGTACTGTGCTAAGTACTGGGGAAATCCCCAACAAATGCGTTCACGCGCGTGTGTGCGTGTCTATGTATGTACGCATGTGTTTATGTATGTGTATATATATATATATATATATATATATATATATATGTGTGTGTGTGTGTGTGTGTGTGTGTGTATGTCTATATACACGTGTGTATGCGTTGTGTATGCAGGGGTGTATGTACATGTATATGTATATGCATGTATGCGCGTGTGCATATATGTGTGCATGCATATGGATGCGTGTGTGTTTATATGCGTGTATATATGTGTATGCATGTGTGTATACATATGTGTATGCATTTGTGTATAAGTGTATACTTATGTGTACGTGTGTATACGCGTGTGTGTATATGTGTGTATACGTATGTGCGTGTATATATGTGTATGCAAGTGTGTATGCTTGTGTGGGAATATGTGTGTATGCATGACTGCATGTGTGTATACGTCTGTGTATATATTTGTGTATGAATGAGTGTATGAGTGTGTGTATATATGTGTGTATGCATGTGGTCATGTGTGTATGAGTGTGTGTATATATGTGTGTATGCATGTGTGCATGTGTGTATGAGTGTGTGTATATATGTGTGTATGCATGTGTGCATGTGTGTGTGTGTGTGTGTAAAAGAGAGAGAGAGTTCAGATGTGTATCTTCATCTCTTCCAGCTTCCCCTCCTTCAATTCCTGTTACAATCTAACTCTCCACTCCTCCAACCGATTCTTCCGATCTGCCTACCTATCTCGGCCTATAAGGTCCCGTGAGATTCACTTCTTTTACTTATGCTCAGACACAACACCACACAGTAACGCACTAACTTGAGGGGCTCGTGAGCCTTGGATGAACGTTAATATGGAAAAGTGTCAGTCTTTGCCTACCTTTCTGCCTGCATATTTACCTCACTATTCACGTGGACTTGGTCACGTGCTTATTTCTCTGCCCGTGTCTCTGTCTGTCTGTCTGCCTGCCTATCTAAAACTTTATATGTCGATCTATTGTTGAGGTCAGTGAATTTGTCGTTTTTCGGCCACCGTACTTTTCCAGAAGATTTTCGGAGTTTTTGTTTTCTCCTCCTCCTCCCATCTCTCTCTCTCTCTCTCTCTCTCACACACACACACACACACACACTCTCTCTCTCTCTCACTCTCACTCTCTCACTCTCTCTCTCACTCACTCTCACTCTCTCTCTCACTCTCACTCTCTCTCTCTCTCTCTCTCTAATGATAGAAACACTCTCTCTAATCGGTTATTTCTTTCTCCTTGAACTTCTAATCTTTCTATTTCCTCTTCTTTTTACTATTTACCTCCTCTTTCCTATTCTTGCGTTTTCTCTTCCTTGCTACTTTATTGTCGAAGTTCATTTCCAACATCCTAATCCCCCCTCTCGCTCCCTCACACACACACACACACACACACACACACACACACACACACACACACACACACACACTTATTCACTTAGTTCTTTTCCTTCTTCCACAATCCCTTCTCGCTTTTCTTTTCTTTCTTTGTTCTACGCTTATTTTTTAACTCTTTCTCCTCCCCTTTCTGGCGATGTATCGACTTCTCTCTCTCTTTCTCTCGCTTCTTTCTTTCGTAATTCCCTCTCTGTTCTTATTCGACCTTCTTCCTCTTCTCTCTTTTCTCTTTTACCTACTCCCTTAATCCTACTTAGTTTTCCTTTCTCTTCACCGCACCCCATTTTTCTTCATTGTGAAGATATTGACTTTTTTTCCACACTGTTTATTGCTTCTAACTTATTTTTCCTTCCTTTTTTTCTATCAACTCCTTCCTTTCATTCATTTTTCATCTTTCTTTTTCTTTCGTCTCCTAAACCCTAACTTACCACACGCAATTTTGCAAGGCATTTTTTTTTTTTACCAGAAGTAAAAGGTTTCTCAAAACATGTCAGTTGATGTATTTATTTATTTATTTTTTAATATTACTGTTTGGTTATTTTGTCTGAATTTTTATTTCTATTTTGGTTCTTATCGCCGTCTGCTTCCATTTTCTTTTCTTCTCGTTTTTGTCTTTGCTTTTTAGTGTTAAGCTTTCTTTTTTATTTTTGTTTTTGCTTTTATGAATTCGTCTCATTTCGTCGTTTCGTTTCGCTTTCTTTGCATTTATTTCTCTTATTTATTTATGTTTTGTTTTATTTTTCGATTTTTTCTTCGCTTTTCCGTACCTCACGGGAGATGTCGGAAACTTCCGAAGAATCCGCTTTCAGAGAAACGAAATTGGTGGAAAATATGGGCCACCACAGATCCGTTCAGGTCCACCGTTCCCGCCATTTTGTTGTCATCGCTTTTTCACGTCTGTTCTCCTACACACCTCTTCCCAATCCTGTCTGCATTGTCACGACCGTCTCAGGCTTTCTCGCGATTATTATAAGTATTTCATTCCTTTTTCTTCTTCATTTTTCTTCTTTTTTATTCGTTATCTTTCTTTCTTTTTATTCCTTTTCTTTGTTTCTATTTATTCCTTTTCTTTTTTCTTTATTTTTGTATTCGTTTTATTTATTTATCGTTTTATTCCTTTTCTTCCATTCGTTCTTTCATTCTTTCTTTCTTTCTTTCTTTATTTTTATTCCTTTTTTCTTTATTTTTATTTCTTTTGTTTCTTTGTCTTTTTATTTATTTTCTTACATTTGTTCTTTCATTCTTTTTCTTGCTTTCTTTCTTTCTTTTTATTTATTTTCTTTTTTCTTTATTTTTTATTCCATTTGTTTCTTTATCTTTTTATTCATTTTCTTTCTCTTTCTCTTTCTTTCTTTCTTTCTTTCTTCATTTATTCCTTTTATTTGTCTATTTTTACTTTCTTTGTTTTGTATTCCCTTTTCTTACTTTGTCATTTTCGTATTTTTTTTCTTTTGATCTTTTTCTTTCTATCTTTCTTTTTTTACTTTGTCTTTTTACCCCTTTCTTTATTTATTAGTCCTTTAATTCATTTCTTTCTTTCTTTTTCTTTTCTTACTTTTCTCTCTGCTTTATTTCGAGTTGAAAGTTCAAAACCGTTTGTGGGTTCTTGCTGTGGATGACATTTCCCACTCAACAGCCTATTTCCCCCGGATGCAATTTTATAAGCCTATCACTATTTCCATGGCAAGTGTTCTGATGAGATCAACTATTTGGTTCTAACAGTCCAGACATTTACAGCTAGAACTCACTATTCTACGTTCACGGAGTCTAATCACCCACATTTCCATCGAATTTCATTTTTTAAGGAGGAAGTTCTAATCAGACAGCTCTTTCCTAAGAACTGCTACTTTGTGGAACAAACCTCCATGAGTACGCATCCTTGAACACTGCAATATTAACGTCAATCGTTATCTATCCTCTTTATCTTTATAATATTTATTTCCTTCTACTCTTACACTTATGTTACACAACTCATCCATTATCACTCTATCCTGAGTGCCTCTTGAGCCTTGTATTGGGTGGACTTCAGTTTAAAAAGGCTTTCTCGTTTTGTGAGAGAGGTCAGCCCTTTTTCCTGGACCGTAATAAATAAACATTCTCTTTTGTGGGTTGAGTCTGAAAGCTATCACTGAAAGAAATGTTACATGACATGAGCAATTTCTTCAGGATATGAGAGGTTCCGAAGAGTGCGATCTTCTATAGTTACCTTGCATATTGTTTACCTGAGATCTGCTTGGGATAGCCGTTAACTGTAGTCTTGATAGTGTCCAGTACTCCGATGACAACTCGTACTGTTCTTGACATTGGATTTCAAATTTGCTGAACCTAGTTTCAAATAATATTATTTGCGTTATCCTGAAACTTTAAGACGTTTGAGCAAAGTTTCGAATGAAATAAAAAATTAAAGTTATAGGAGCAGAACGGTTCGCCTATCGCTAGGTTCAAACTCCTCCCCGGTCTTTTGAACGGAAGTAGAAATTTATCCCTTGTTTCCGGTTTACGGTTTGGGTTTCCGGTTACTTCTAAAGTCTACTTTAACTCTATATTTCTAATGACCCCTCTTAAAATTTTATTTACTATTTAACTTTTTTATATTTTCCTATTAGAAATTCACCTATCATCTAGTACACACTCCTCACCGGTCTTTTAAAGATGAATACAGGTTTATCCCTTATATTCTGTTTAAGATTGAGTTTCCAGTTCCTTCTAAAGTCTCATTCACTTTTACGCCTGGCAGTCCCTTGCATCTTAGTGACGTTATCGCCTTGGTTAGAATGAATTGATTAAAATAAAAAAGTATATATATATATATAAATAAAAAAAAAAATATATATATATATACCAAAAAAATTTCGCTTGAAGATGGAACAGAGCTTATTTTAACTCAATTTAATTTAAATAATTATATTGAAGTTTTCGGCTCTTGTTTTGAAACATGGGACTTCTTATGTCGCGATTTGGAATCATATTTTTAAATAAATAATTATATATATTATATATATATATATATATATATATATATATATATATATATATTAAATATATATATAAGTCACACACACACACACATATATATATAAATATATATATATATATATATATATATATATATATATATATATGATTTAAATATACATGAAACAAATATAAGATAAAGAACAAATAGGAAACATTTATCAATCTAACGCTTTATGATGAAGCTTTAATAAAAGTGAATCGTGTTAGATTGATAATCGTTTTTTTTTGTTCTTTATCTTATATATATATACATGTGCCTGTGTGTTGTGTGTGTGTTGTGTGTGTGTGCTGTGTGCGTATCTGTGTTGTGTATGTATGTGTGAGAGAGACAGAGACAGACAGAATCAAACTGACAGATAGAGACAGAAGAACAGGTCGATACGCTTAAATATATCTATAGATGATGGACTTTGTCATCATTTTCGACGCATGAGGGTCCAACAGTTCAGCTCGTAAAATTGAAGAGCCAGATTATTTCTACATATCATTTAATTGTAGTGGTGATGGTTTTATGCAGAACCCACCCACGCTTTTTGGAAGAACCGAATATAGAGAACTGGTGCACACCAATCAACCATCCTCGGGTTGGAATTCGCTTTGCACTCCTCATATAATAACACAGGTCGTTAACGCCTAAGAAAACACGTAGTCCAGTAAATTGCTTGAGTTTAACGCGTTTAAAAATAGAGCAATAATAGTTTAAGAAGCAGTTTCGCAAGACATTCTCTATCTTTCAACTATATATATATATATATATATATATAACGTTTGAGTAATATATATATATATATATATATATATATATATATATAACGTTTGACGTTTATATATATATATATATATATATATATATATATATATATATATAAGCATGAGCATCGATGGAGTTCAGAAAATATGCCAATAGCCGAATATTAAAAGTAAAACCAATAAAGGAAAATAGGCGAAACACATCCGGATTCAAATTCAATTAGAGTTGATTTTTTTTTCTCGTCTTGCCCAAAGCTGTTAAACGAAACATCAGGAATTTGCAAAGTCTTTAAAATAATAAAATTAAGGAAACCCATTGTCATGACTACATTAAAAAGAGTTGGAAATATATATATATATATATATATATATATATATATATATATATATATATATATATATATATATAGAGACAGATAGACATACAGACAGACACAATGAGAGAGAGAGAGAGGGGGGGAGAAAAGGTAGAGGTACAGATAGAAGTAAAGAAAACGGAATGTCGACAAAGATCGATAAAAATGAAAGGCATTGGAGACCAGAAAAAAAAACAGCAAGCAAGCATCGAAGCGAGTAGGAAAAAGTAACAAAAAAACAAATTTAATAGAGAAGAAAAATGTCGAGAGAGAGAGAGAGACAGACCGACAGGCAGAGTAGGGGAAAAAGAGAGAGAGTAAGAAAAATGCAAATTTATACCGGCTGTGAATGAAACAGGGTTCGACCGAGATCTATGATTGAAAAAAACGGAGTAAAATGGACAAAAGATAGATAGATAGATAGATAGATAGATAGATAGATAGATAGATAGATAGATAGATAGATGGATGGATGGATGGATTCTAGGCGATTGAAAATGGAGTACAGATCTATGGATAGAAGTAAAGAGAAAGGAATAAAGAGAGATATAGTGATCAGAAAGTGTGGTAAGCGGAGATTGAAGAAAGAAAGAAAGAAAGAAAGAAAGAAAGAAAGAAAGAAAGAAAGAAAAAAGAAAGAAAGAAAGAAAACTTAAATAAACACTGAATATATAGGGAGTGAAACGGCTTGATGTAGATATATGAACAAACCGAGTGAAACGGACCAATTGGCAGATAGATAGATAGATAGATAGATAGATAGATAGATAGATAGATAGATAATGAACAGACTGAGATAGATAGATAGATAGATAGATAGATAGATAGATAGATAGATAGATAGATAGATAGATAGATAGATGCATACATACATACATACAAACATACATTTGAACTGACTTAGATTTATACATACATAAATATGAACAGAACGAAATAGTTATGAACAGACTCAGATAGATAGATAGATAGATAGATAGATAGATAGATAGATAGATAGATAGATAGATATGCCTCTTTCAGCTTTTGATTTTATTGGCTGAAGATGGGTTTATTTTACCATTTATAAAAAAATAAAAGAAAGAAAAGACAATGACAAAAAAGAAAGAATGGAAGAAAAGAAGAAAGAAAGAACATCAGGAAATAGAGAAAGAGAAAGAAAGTGATGAAAGAAAGAATGTAACAATAGAAAATAACAAAGGACGAAAGTAAGCAAGATGGAACGCGATAGAAAAACTGTCAAAAGAAAGAAAGAAAGAAAGAAAGAAAGAAAGAAAAATGACGAAAGAAAGAGATATAAACACTTTAGATAGAAGAAGACATGAGCCAAAATTCCTCTCTCCTTCATTTCTCAATTTTCATTGTCTGATTAAACAGTCACGAAAGATGATCACGTGTGCGCTATGGCAACTTCTGTAGCCATCTGATAATTATTACATGGCCAGGTGTAAAACGTGTCCATCGTGGTCGGATCCCAAGAGAATTTGGCACGGGCTGACGTCCTTCTCATTTATTCGGAATAGGAGATGCCGTTCAATTTTCCTTTTTCAAATACACTCTTTTTCCTTTTTTCTAAACATACTTTCAGCCGACCCATGCTTGTTTGCTTCTTAAATAGATTATTGGGATAGTGCAAAATTTCCCAGCGCCATCTTTTTAAAAATAGAAACTACAGTTGAAAATTGGTATTTTAGTAAATTAAAAAAAAGCTGAGAACGTTAGGTTATTTCGGGGTTTTTTTTTTTTGTTTGTTTTTTGGGTTTTTTTTTTTTTTGGTTTAAGTTAATATGCAATGACGTACATTTTTTTTTTAGTGTAAGGTTCACCATGTACTATACCCGGAGGGCTCTCGAGGTAAAAGGTTACGTTAAGGGTTAGTTTATACGGATAGGAGAGGAAGATAAAGGATAACTCTAGACTTGAACGGGTTAAGATTATAGCGATCGGGGAAACATCCACTTGGGAGTCGGTTCCGCAGAGCAATGGTTCGCGGGAAGAAGCTGTTCGAGTGGAACTTACCTTCTCGCCAGTGGAATACGGAGGTAATACGGATAGTTTGCTACAATGTGAGTAACATGACGGATCCTCGCCGTGAAGGTTAGAATTGGCAGAACCAAAGAATATAGTTCGTCCGGGAACTTTCCTTGGATAGAGTGAGAGGCTAGCCACATCTCGCCGGTGAGATAGAGGTTGAAGGATGGAAAATAATTCACAATTTAATGTCATATATATATATATATATATATATATATATATATATATATATATATATAGTGAGGTTTGCGTGTACAAAGCAGTTGGTACGGATAGGAGGGGTAGATAACGGTTAACTCTAAACTTGAACTGGTTAAGATTATAGTGATCGGGGAAACATTCTCTTGGGAGTCGGTTCCACAGAGCAATGGTTCGCGAGAAGAAGCTGCTCGAGTGGAACTTACTTCTCGCTAGTGGAATACGGGGGGAATGTGGGCGATTTGATACTATGTAAGTGGCATGGTGGCTCCTAGCCGTGAAGGTTATATCTGGTGGAACCAAAGAATTGTGTTCGTTCGCGCACATTCCATGTACGATAGAGTTGTAGGGGACTCGCCACATCCTGTATGTGAGAAAGAGGTTGGTAGGCGGAAAATAATTCTTCTCCGACAAGATTTCGAAACCGTTTTTGAACCAAGATTAGAAAGTGAGGACTGGGCAGCTCCCGCCCAAATATGGCAACAGTACTCCATTTTCTGGCCTGACCTGGCCCTTATAAAGGGAGAGAATAGCATGAGGAGTCAGGTACTTACTGGTTTGATACAGGGAGCCGAATATTTTACCTTTAGTCATGGGTCGTATATATATATATATATATATATATATATATATATCGACGGGAGAGTCGATTATTATATATATATATATATATATATATATATATATAGATAGATAGATAGATAGATAGATAGGCTCCTGAAAAATTAATTTCGGTTGAGCTCTCTGGGGAGGAAATGTGGGTTTGTAAATAGAGGCAGCCGGACGTCTAGCCACACCGAAGAGCTGTGAAACAGCGAAACAGTCTGTCTGTGGATGACAATATATAGGCTCCTGAAAAATTAATTTCGGTTGATCTCTCTGGAGAGGAAATGTGGGTTTGTAAACAGGGATTACTACGGCTGATAGAGCGAGACTTACTGTGTCTAAAAATAAATACGCTAAAATTCGCCTTCATCCCTACGGCTTAGTGGTAGAATCTCCGACTGACGACAATTCAGTCGGGTTTCGATCCTAACTAGAGGCAATCGGACAAAGAGCTGTGAAACAGCGAAACAGTCAGTCTGTCTGTAGATGACATTATATATATATCGGAGTTCCACTATATAGATATAGATATAGATATCGGAGTTCCACTTGAGTTCGGATGAGTTTGAGGGCCAGTATCCTCTCTTGAGTGGACTACGTTCATCCTGACTGGCGGTAGTTCGGGATCTGTTCTGGCGGAAGTACATCAAGACCGTGAACTAATGAAGTTGTATGTATTATACAGTAGATATTTATATTTCATTATAATATCTTTCATTATGAAAGGACTTAATCCAACTCTTCTCTATTAATCTCATCCATTGGATATTATACAATGAACACTCAATAATCAAAATCCAACAAATAACTGCATCAGGATACGGATTTATTGATACAACCTCGCAACACACACACACACACACACACACACACACCGAAGTTAAGCAACGTCGAGCTTCAGCAGTACCTAGATGGGCGATCGATTGAGAATACCAGGTGCTATAAGTTTGAAATTGCGAGTAGTGTAATGGATAATGGCTCGGAATTGTTAATCGGAGAGCCGGGTTCCAATTCCAGTTGGATTCGTTATATTCACTTACGCGTAAATACCTCTAGGAAATATTAAAACCAACTTTATCTCCCCCAGTTATGGGTTAATTAATAACACTTGTACTACTAAACTATTATTATCTAAAAAAATTATTTCAATCTAAAAATATTTTCTAGCTGCAAAGGGTTGATAAGCCGTATAAGATGAAACAATCAAATCGGTCTTTCGCGTTTTGATTTGGAAACGTTTTTACGTACATACCGTTTGTTTTCGATAAATATGCGTTAGATTCTTTAAGAATGGTTTCAATAAAAGGTCGCAATGTAATATAATGTTTTTGGCATGTTTTTATAGTTGTTAATATTGTTATTAGCAGTTTCTCAAAGTACTTTCGACGTAAAATTATGTCCAGATTTGTTCCTCTGTATTACGAGAGACTTTGGTTTACGAAAGGTAAATCCTAAAGGAAACCATTTTGAAGGCGTAGAGGCTATCAAGAGGGTCGTAACGATGAGGCTGTGGGGCACCCAAAAAGAATCCTTCCCCTCAGTGCATAGAAGCGTGGCAAAGAAAGATGGAAAAGGGAATTAGGCTCGAGGAGGATTACTTTGAAGGGTAAACATGTAGTTTGTTGTTTGGAATTGAAAAAAAAAAAAACAGTTCCGTTACTTTTCGGTCCGAACTCGTGTTACAACAAAGTCAAAACCTCCGACCAGATCAATGATAACATAACAAAAATTTATGTTTCCATAAACTAATGTTGTCTATGAAATTGCTTCCCGACTATTTTTCTTTAATCATTTCAATCCAAGAAAGTCAGTAAAAGCCGCTAGGATGCAAAGGGCTGACTGAGGGGGAAAAATTAGAGAGGGCAATAAAAGAGTAGGATTCAAAATGACAGAATAATTTACATTTAAATTTTTGAAGATCGTAGTTGACAGGAAGGTAAGAAAGATATTTCATAAGCGATATATGCGGGACGAGAATCTATTGACTCAGAACTTAGAGTTCCAGCTAGCAATTTCAGCAGTGAAACTATGAGACCTACCAGCAAATATAGTACTGCGCTTAGATTTATGAAGTCATGAGGTAGCAAAGAGGAAAGCTCGTCAAAACAATGACCATGGGAATATTTATATATAAAAAGAGACAGAGTAGCAACGTTACGACCGTGGGAAAAAGACTGAAGCCGAGATTCTGGGTATGGACCGATATCGTTGCAGATTCTTCTTTGGATTATATCAGGAATCTCTAGATATATATATTGGAAGCACCAGATTAGATGTGGCAGCAATACTGAACAATGGGATGAATGGAACGCTTATACATACGCAAGATAGATTCTGAAAAGAAAGATTGTCTATCACGACGTAGTGACCTGATTTTCCTAGCAATAAACTTAGTAGTTGATTCAATACAATCGTTCCACAACATGTCAGTGAAAAACGTGTCTCCAAGAAAGCGCAGTGAATTACCCTCCTGGAGGTTAGCATCAGCCATGATATTGGAAGGCAAAAAAGTTTTTTTTTTTTAAGATGATTAATAGAGAGAAGTTTTGTTTTAGAAACCTATTGGGAAATGGTTCAGTCCATACTGCAAATGGAACTTATATATACGAACCTAAGAGGCTGGAAAATATATACGCTAAAGAGGCTGGAAAAATGCTTTTTATAACTCACACTGCCCTCACTCTTCCTGTTATAGTTTACTTTACAAGAGCCAGGTGATGCCGAAAATGGACTCAGTTATGTGCCATGAGTGATATACGCGTAGACGATCATGTATCTTTTGATACATGACTGATGAGGTCGCACAGGTTGCCATTTCTGTCTCTCTTGCTATTTACCTATAGCTGGGTGGAGAAGAAGAGGATTCATACTTTTCCCAACGGTATTAGCACGTAAGTGAATGTAGTAGATTCGACTGGAACTCGGCTCTCCAGTTCCTCAATCCGAACCGCTATCCATTACTCCACCATGCCTCCTCTAAAATATCGGAGTTAGCGCTAACGTGGACCCCACACTTAGAAATAGCGCA